GGTGGGGCAGGCCAGTCATCTAGATGCGTCAGCAAGCTCCAGGTCCCAGGGTGGGACCCTGGCTCAGAAAACCAGACTGGCAGCTCCTAAGGAGCAACACTGGAAGTTAACTTCCGGCCTCCAGACACAGGTGTGTGCACACGCATGCGCATGTGCGCGTGCACGCACGTACACACAACCCGCTCCTGCACACTTAAATGCATAGAAACAAACACACCCACAGACAAGCACAAAGATTGAAAAGCCAAACATCAGGTAAACAGTAAGTTATAGTCAATAAACCCAAAGCGAGCATCTCATATGTACATGGTCATTCTAATTTTGTAGTAAACAACATTAAAACCATACGTATCGTCTACGAAGTCCTGAGAAGTCTTACTTATTGCTCCCGTTGGAGGAGAGTAAACGGAGAGCAGGTGTTCTTCTTTGTCCTCTGGGTGTTATGTACAATGAACAAATCACTTTGATTAGGATGGATAAAACCCATAGTTTTATTATCAACTTAAAAAAAGATTTATTTTTCTTCCATGTGATGAGTGTTTCTCCTGTATGTATGTCTGCATGTGTGCCTGGTGCACACAGAGGCCTGAAGAGCATGTAAAACCCCATCCTCTGAAACTTGAGTTACAGACAGTTGTGAACTGCCATGTGGGTGCTGAGAATCGAACCCAGGACCTCAGGAAGAGTAAGTAACCAGTGCTCTTAACTGCTGAGCCATCTCTCCAGCTTTATCAATTTTTAATTTGTTTTTGCCTTTAGCAGAAAGTGTCTGCCTGTTCTCAGGTCAGGATTGGGCAGAATCTTAGCAGGGTGTTTCATGGCTGTCCTTTAGCCTCTGTATTTCTGGTGGTACAAAATGAGGGTACAGGTCACACTTGGATGAGGTCTGAGTGCACTTTTAATTATTACAATATTTGAGGGATGCTAACATATTTAGTTCTTTTTGAGGCAGCCTCATGCTCTGTGTAACCTTGGCTGACCCAGAGTTTGGCATGTAGACCAGGCTGGCCTTGAACTCACAGAGATTCACGTGCTGGAAATTCTGGGGTTCAGGGTGTGTGACACCATGCCCACCCAAGGCAGAGTCTGTTGTAGTTCAAGTTGGTTTTAGACTCTATGTAGCCTAGGATGATCCTAAACTTCTGATCCTCCTGCCTCCACCTTCTGAGTAGCTGGATTACAGGTGTGCACAGCACTTCTAGAAGATTCCACAAAGCTGTCCTCTGACTTCCACACCCATTCTTTCCCTTCCAGCTGGGGCCTCTTGGGCCCTTAGGTGATGCCAGAAGACTTCATCAGCCTACACTCTGTCAGGCTGGGCAGACTGTGGGTGTCCCTGAAATACAGTCCCACTTCCCAGACCTGGAGGCTGGCCAAATGCTGTCTGCCCTCCCCCACCCCGAAACTGCTTCTCTAAGGCTATTTTTTAAAATGGCTGACCTGTGAAGTCCGGCGGCCGTTACTACAGTCTCAGCGGCTGTCTAACCAACCACAACGTTTAACCGTTTCAGACACCACCTCAAACCTCTACCACCAACAGTCACTCCTGACTTCCTTCCACAAGGCCCCGGCCGGGCCCTGAGCAGCCCCTGATTTTCATCTGTGCCTATAAATTTGCCTATTTTCAACATTCCGTCTGATCAGAACCACAGAACGTCATCTTTTGGTGGGTGGCTTTCCCGCTTCCACTTAGCACAACGTTTTGAGAGTTCCAACAGAGTTGCGTATCTCACAACCCACCTCCCTTTTCTTTTGTTGTACAATACTTAAGTGTAGTGCTTTTTTTTTAAAAAATTCATCTACCATTTATGGGTTCTCTGTGGTTTCTAGCTTCTGGCTATTGTGAATAACGCTGCTATGAAAATGAATATATATGAATGTACATCCTCACTTCTCCTAGGCTAGCAGGAGTAGTGGTCACAGGCACCTATTTAATGTACCTGTGTGTGTCTGGTGTGTGTGTGGGTATGTATACATGCATGTGTGTGTGTGTGTATGCATGCGTGAGTGTATGGGTGTGGGTGTGTGCATGTGTGTGTGCCTGTGTGTATGCATGCGTGAGTGTATGGGTATGCACGTGGGTGCGTGTGTGGAGCAAATTCACCTTTCATGCTTGTGCGGCAGAACTCCCAAGCTACTGCATCTGCGTCCTTACAGTGGCTGTGTCAGTTTACACGCCCGTCAGCGGTGGCCCAGAGTCCCAGCCTCTTCACACCTTCCACACCTTAGCCACTTGTCACTGGTCCTTCATTATCATCCACTTCATGCGTGTGACACTGTCTCACCATGGTTTTGATTGCTCTGGGTTGTTAGGAAGTTCAGACTCTGCCAGAATTGTGTGTTCTGGGGATGCAAGGTGACACCTGTGCCAGCCAGTCTTCGGCTGCTCCCGCCGTGTGGCTTTAGGTGCTCGCAGCCTTTCAGGCAGTTTCCCTCACTATTCAATGACATGACTCACTCCGTTCCTTAAAGGCATCTGTGCGATGATGCAGCCATGGCTTACAGAATGCAACTTGCACATTATTCAAAGCTGGCTTACAAAAAAGAAAAGCGCCAGGAGTGGTAGTAAGTGTGTTTGATCTCAGGACTCAGGAGGTAGGGGCAGGCAGAGCTCTGAGTTCAAGGCTAGTCTGGTCTACAGAGGAGTTCCAAAACAGCCGGGGCTACACAGAGAAACCCTGTCTGGAACAAACAAAACAAGCAAAATGATACTTTTAAACGAATTCCTCCAAGTTAAGAACAGTGATCACATCACTGCCCATTGAGGAAGATGAAAGAAATCGACCACAGGATTGCAAGAATCACACCTGACTAAACGACACACAAACACCAGGGCTCACTGGAGACTTGTTTCCCTCCTGACCTCTGGCCCGGAAGAGCCCAAGGCATTCTCTCCCTACCCCTTGTCAGGTCCCAGGTAGTCCAGGCTAGCCGGGAACTTACTGAATAGCTGAGAACGACCATGAACCTCCTGGTTCCCTTGCCTCCACCTGAGGTCTGAGTGCTGAGATTAAAGGCACGAGCCACCATACCCAAACTTATGGGGTGCTGGGAATTGGTCACAGGGCTTCATACGTTCTAATCAAGTACTCTAACCAACTGAGCTAAGGCCTGGCCTTTGCAGGTTTTAGTTTTTAAGGTATGTATGTGTGTCTATGTGGCGGCAGGTGCAGGAAAGTGTGGGCGCCCGGGGAAGCCAAGAGGCATCAATCAGATCTCCCTGGAGTTATAGAGCTGCCTGAATGGGGTGTGGAAATCAACTTGGGTCCTCTGGAATGGAAGTACCAGTTCTTAACCACGGAGCCATCTTTCCAACCCCAGCCTCTGTGGTTCTTAAGGTAACATGAAAAAAATCTCTTGATCGGAACACTGAAAGCTTAACACAAAGCTGAGAAGCAGGTCTGTAGCCCACTGAGATAGCGGCCCTCTGGGCGCTGTCCCACAGCTGCTTCTGTTGGTCATCCTAAATTGATAAATGAAAGGTTTCTAACAATGAAGATTCCATGTCAGAACAGAGTCCCTAAAGAGTGGGGCAAAGGCAGGAGCCAGACAGGAGGCCCAAGCAGGCAGCCTCCCTCCCGGGGTTTGATCAGCTGCAGCGAAGGTGGGAGACTCCTGACCTGGGTTTTAAGAGAGGCAGCAGGCAGGTGAAGTCATTGTTAAAATCTTTGCTCTCCGATTTGGAAAAGGCTGGTTTCACTGTCACCCACAAGCTGGCACAATATCCCCGTTCCTCAAACTCAAGGACCGGCATTAACGCTTCTCCCCTTCATAATTTTGTGCACCAAAATCCCAGGCTAGCAGGGACATTTTTCAACTGCTTCACTTGTGGATGGAAGCAGAGGCCTCTGATCCTCGGATCTCATCTCCACCTGTGCCTGGAGTCTCTCTGACTCCGACCAGCTTTTAAAGATCAAAGAGGTAAGTAGCCTCTTGCTTTTGTTTGGCTGATCTAGGCCGGTAGCTTGGGTCCCACACACCACTCTGCTCAAACCAAAACTGCTTAGAACCACACCTTTTTAGTTCCTTTTTAAAACGCCCCTGTGTCCCAATTTTGGTCCCTCCAGGTTCCCTTCTTAAGAGAGGCGAGTACTTCTCCTTCCTCCCTTTCCGCAGGGAAACGCTAGGCAACCAAAATAATGGTTACGGATGGTAGAAAACTCTGGCCCAGTACCCCAGCTGGGGGGCTGCTCCCGCTTAGCAGGCAGGACCCCGCTTCCGGGTCTGTGACTTTGCACCAGGTTCCCCAAACTTCTGTCTCCACAGCTTTCTACAAAACTACCACTCCCCTCTCCAGCCATAGTGACTGGAGCATCAAACCGTCCAACCCAGTTCCAAAATAAACCACACAAACAGAAAAGGCGTTGAAGACGAGACATTTCAAATAAGTTGAAAACAGCAAACAGGAGGGAGAAAATAAGGGTGGGTAAAGAGCGAACTGGAACAGGCCTGCCTGGCAACTTCTGGCCTGGCCAGAGGCTTCTGTGCAGCCCTGCTCACACTAACAACGGCCCCCTCACCCTGCCTGGCTCCAAGTGACCATCAGAAGGTCTCAGCCACAGGCCTTCCCAGTTAACCATCGGCCTTCCGAGGAGCCTCTGAGGCCTGGGGGAGCACAGGGGGCACAGCGATGTTCTTAAAGGCGGCGATTCTCCCCGTCCCCAGCAGATATCGAACGCCAAGCCGAGCCCTCAGCTCTCCGGCGGCCGGGCACGGCCTGGGGATGGTAGGGACAGCAGGGGACTCTCCCTTCCCTGCCCGGGTGCGAGACGCGCGGCCTGGAGAAGAGGAAGGAAGACGAGGAGGAACTCGCACCCCAGGTTTCAGTGGAGAAGCGGGCCGGCCCCGCTGGGAGGCGGTTGGAGATGCGAGGAGACGGGAGACCTTGCGGGCTGCTCCGGGAACTTTTTAGGAGGACACTAAAGCGGTGCGCAATGATCCCACGGTCCCGGCCAGGTGCAGCCCGTGTACGCGTCCCCAGGCCACTCCACCCTTCTTACCATCTGTGCCACTTTGAGCAGGGCGCCCTGGGTACGCGGGTACACCCGGTCCAGCAGTCCCTCCGAGGGCTGGCTTGGCCCCGGCGCGCCGCCGCTGCTGCACGTGGTCCGGATGAGCCCCGATCCATGCGACATCGCGGGGGCCCAGACCGGCCGGCGGCCTACGGGCCCCCCGAGACCTCTGGCTAGTAAAGCTGGAACGGGACGGGGCGGGGCCTCAGGGGCGGGGCGCTCGGGTCCCTCTTCCCAACTGTGGCGGGACCCAGAGGGGACCGGGAGCAGATGCCCCACAAACTTCTGCCCACCAGACGCGCGGAAGTTGGACTGGCCTGGGCAGGAAACCGGACGCCTGGGGCCCTGGCCTCTCCCAGAAGCGCACCGCCCAGGTCACAGCTGGTGACGAGCCTCCAGGGATTTTTTTAATGTGTGTGTGTGGGGGGGTGCGGCTGCCTCTGGGTGCTGACCAGTAGGGCGTAGGGCGAAATGCCCCAGCATATCGTGCTGCGCTGTTCATTTCTGCGTGTGCTTGTGTGTGTGCAGAGGTGCGTGTTCACACCTCCCCCCCCGCCCCCCCCCCGTCCTCCTTCTATTCTGCTTTTTTTTTCTTTGTTTTAAGGCAGTCTCTCTCTTGCTGGAGGTGGCACTTTACTTCCAGCCCTGGGAAGCAGAGGCAGGAGGATCTCTATGAGTTCGAGGTCAACCTGGTCTACACAGTGAGCTCCAGGACCCCCAGGACTATTTAGAGAGACTTTGTCTCAAAAACAAACAAACAAATAAATAAACAAACAAGTTAGAATCTCTATAGACCCTGCTAGCCTCAAACTCACAGAGATCCTCCTGCTTCTGCCTCCCCAGTGCTGGACCGAAAAGGTGTGCACCACATCCCAAGGAGTTGCTCTTTTAGATGCTCTAGGCTGTGTAAAAGTGGCAGTTAAAGCTAACCAGGAAACATCCTCGTGTTGTGGTACATCTTTTTGATTTTGTGTATGTATATATTGTATGTATACACACACACACTCACATACACACACACACACACAAGCCAGAGGAAGACGTCTGGAGTCCTGCTCAGTCACTAGCTGTCTTTGTCTCTCCCCTGCGAGGCAGAGTGCCCATAGCCCTGGTTGTATTGGTTGCTCTCGTTCCCTAGACTGAGAAAATACCTGGCAAAAGTGAGATTATTTAGACTCATGGTGGAATGTTTTTTTTCTGGTCTGCTGTCGGACCTGGGGTGAATCAATGTTTGTTCGTGTCTCAGAAGTCACACAACACAGGCTTAGTCCTAATTTTTTTTTTCTTCCCAAGACAGTTTCTCTGTGTCACTGTCCTGGAACTCACAGAGGTCTCCCTGGGTGGGGTGCTGGGATGAAAAGGGTGTGCCACTGCTACCGCCTGGTTTAAGACTTAAAAAAAAGACTCTTTGATTTTTAAATTTATTTATTTACTTTCTGTCTATGAGTATACTGCCTACATCCATGTCTGTTCTTGGTGCCTGAGGAGACCAGAAGAGGGTGCTGGATCCCCTGGATCTGGAGTTACAGTTGTGAGCTGCCATATGAATGCTGGGAATTGAACTCAGGACCTCTGGAAGGGCAGCTGTTGCTCTTAACCAACGAGCCATCTCTCCAGCCCATGGAAAAACGCTTTTCTCTGATACACAAGGTTAAGGCCTCACTTAAAATGATAATGGCTGGAGGCCAGACTACACCTTTTGCTGATACACTCAGCAGAAACTGTTACCCCGGTGATGCCAGAAGCCCTGCCCCCATCCAGTCTTCCCTCACACGGTCCAGTACCTTCCTTTACATCCTCTCCAGCCCACAGCATCGCACATCACCTCCCTGTATCCCACATCAGCCACACTGGGCAGAAGTCTCCCCTTGCCTTCCACAGTTTCCTGCTTACAGGTTGCTTCCCATTTATTTTTGAGTTCTCTGGAGACAGGGACTCACTTCGTAGCTCTGGCTGGTCTGGAACTCTCTAGGGAGACCAAGCTGGCCTCCAACTCACAGAGATAAACATGCTTCTGTCTCCTGAACAGAAGCTGGGGTTAAAGGTGTGTGATAGGCATATGTGGTTTATTTTAAAGTTATCAGACTCATGTGATCTTGCAAAACTTGGCTGTAATTTTCCACTCTAAACTAGTTTGGGCACGGGAGGGTGGGTGGGTAACTAAGGTGAGTTTGGGTGGAGTGGGGAGGGAAATAGCAAGGCCAGCAGGCTTTAGCAGGGGGCTGGTGTTTTTTGCTCATTTGTACCAGGACCTAAGCTGACTTCAGGCACCTTTAAAAATGATCTGTTAGATTTGATTTTTATCAGGGTCTGTCAAGCAGCCTAGACTGGCCAGTAAGTCTCAGAGATTCTCCTGTCTCTGCCTTCCCAGTCCTAGAATTGTGGGTGCATGGGTGCAGAGGATCCAAATCGAGGTTCTCAGACTCGTGCGGCAAACACCTTTCCCCTCCGAGCCATCCCCCAGCTGCAGACGTGTGGGCATTGTGTATACTCATATACTTACATTCTAGCATTGCACGTCCATGTTATTTTCTCTGAAAACCTAGCTTTTCCGGTACATTTCAATAAAGTCCATTTCCCCCACAATAGGCCATCTTTTCGATTCGAACGCTGTCTTAGGGGTAGAGGTACAGACTTTGAATTGGTTTTCACCCATTGAAATTGGTGTGTCTTTAGTGCTTCCTACAGAGATACATTTTGCATTTGAACTCTTCGGGTGCTAATACCCTGAAGGGATATCTCCAGTGAACGGAGCAATTTAAAAATCTGAAAATGGGGGCTGGAGAGATGGCTCAGCGGTTAAGAGCACTGACTGCTCTTCCCGAGGACCTGGGTTCAATTCCCAGCACCCACATGGCAGTTCACAACTGTCTGAAAATCCAGTTCCAGCGATCTGACACCCTTACACCAATGCAATAAAATAAAGTTAAATAAACCGTAGAAAATTAAAAAAAAAAGAATAACAATGTGTATTTTTAAAAAAAAAATCTGAAAATGAACTGTTGCAATTAGGCGTTCCCTCTCTTGGTTTTCTTATAGTTTTCAGATGCTAGCCAAATATTTCTCATTAGGAGGATGGATTGGAAAAGCAATGGCGAGAGATGAAATGCCTCAAGCATTTTTGTATTGATTTGCCCAGAGTAGGTAAACACAGTAAGTTAAAAACTGCCCAGTTCCATTTGAGGCCAGGAAATGCTGGAAAGTAAACTCAGCTGCTGAGCCGGTGTTAGCTGAGCATACAAAGTAACAACTTTCACCATGGCTTCTTTGAAGTATTTTAATTACACTTATTTGTGTGTGTGTGTGTGTGTGTGTGTATGTGTGTGGTTTGTGCGCCCCACAGTGAGATCAGAGGGCAGTTTCTACGAGTCAGGTCAAACCCATTAAGCGAGTCCGGGAAGGGGAGGGTGGGAAGAGGGAGGGGCTGAACTCTGCAAGCATCTTTACTGGCAGAGCCATCTCGCCAGCCCTACCATGGAACCTTCCTATGTAAATGTCATTATACTTTGTTTTCCTTGTTCCTTCCCCCATTTTCTTCTCCCCCCCACCAACAGGTCTCATTAAGTAGTCCTGGCAGATTTGGCAGCTACTGCCTCGACCAGGATGAACTCAGATCTACCTGTCTCTCTTAGGTCCTGGATGCAGCATGCCGGGTGATGGTGGTGCACACCTTTAAACCCAGCACTCAGGAGGCAGAGCAAGCAGGTGGAGCAACCCTGTCTCAAAGGGGAAAAAAAAGTATACAACACTATGCTCTGTGTGTGTGTGTGTGTGTTTTAAACAACAACAAAAATCAAACCCACCGCTAGGCGGTGGTGGTGCACACCTTTAATCCCAGCACTCGGGAGGCAGAGGCAGGTGGATCTCTGTGAGTTTGAGGCCAGCCTGGTCTACAGAGCGAGTTCCAGGACAGATTCCAAAGTAACAGAGAAACCCTGTCTCAGAAAAACAAAAAGCAAACAATCAAAATCAAATCCAGTTTAAATGCTTCAACTATTGGCAGAAAAAGAAGACAAAACAAAAACAACCCCCCCCCCCCCCATGGCACTATCACCTTAAAAAGAGTAAGAGATGGGTAATTCTGGAGCCAAATTTGAGTCACCACGGCCCTGGAACACAGATATCGGTGAACCCAAACTCCATTGTCCCCTGTGGAACACTTCTATAGCTTGACAGAACAAAGAGTGCATTTAAAATACACCGGGTGCGTCAGAGAGAGGTGGTTACAGCAAGACGGGAGGCGTGTCTCTATGGGCCTCCGTTCTGTATGCTGACACTCTTAGCTTTGGGAGTGAGGAAGCCTGTGTTCTGCTAAGTGATAGATGCCTGGGGTTTTCAGTCTGCACGCCACGAGTTGTTAGTTGCTAACCAAACACAGAGGTGGGCAAGGAATGGCCATTCAAGAGGGGCGGGAAGGGGTGGTTAGCCAGAGATAAGGTTATCTGAGGACATTCCAACCCCTCCACATCACTGCAGATCTATAGGCCAATCAGTTACGGCAGACACAGCTTCTTTCCAGGAATGCTTGTTGACATCAGCTGCCTGGAATCATTTTGTCATCCGAAAATGCAAACTTGGAGATGATTCACCAAAAAGTTCTCATGACTTTTTTTTTTTTGAAGAAACAAAGTTTTCTTCCGGTTGAACCTATGTTTATTGTTTTGATGAGTTTTCATGGGAGCTTATGGGCCTGCTTCCGAGAAACCACAGAGAAAGGCAGAAGGTAAGACTTTGTTCAAGGTCTTTGAGATTTCCAGCCTACAGAGAGCCATGCTCATCCCAGGGGACTACTCCCTCGCACTTGGAAGGGCCTCCCTCGGAAGCTTCCCAGAAACATGCCTTTAGGCCTCTACTTCGTTGCCCTTTTAAGGAGCCTTGACTGCCGCATAAAGGACTTGATAAAATCCACTGGGTACACAGGTGTCCTTGCTTTGGTGAGAGAGAGGACAGAGAAATAACACATAAGACTGTTTTAATTAGTTCATTGTAGTGGCATTTTGTGTGTATTTTAATAAATAAAGTTTGCCTGAAGATCAGAAAGGTCAAACAGTCCCACCAGGCAGTGGTTAACACACACATTTAATCCCAGTAGTCACACTAGCTTGCCATGGAAACCAGGCGGTAGTAGTGCATGCCTTTAATCCCATAACTAGAAAGGACTATAAGACTGGAGGAGACAGCTCTCCCACACAGTCTCATTTTGAGATTCCTGGAGGCAGGATCTCCATTTCAGACTGAAGAAGAGGTAAGAGCCAGTGGCTGGCTGTTTTGCTTTTCTGACCTTCAGGTTGAACCCCAATTTTTTTTTATTTGAGCTGAGCTTTTATTAATCATGCTCCATTATTCATTTTTGTTTTTGATGACTTGGGGGATAAAATACAATGAGATTACCCAAACATTACTTTTTTCTTGTTGA